TCCAGACTCTAGAGCGTCACACTGCTGGTCCGCAAGACTTGCTGTGGACAGTGCATCGTGTTGGTTGGGAGCCTACCTGGGGGAGAAGAAAGGGCCCCAGCGCATGGCGATATTAGCACAGGCATTGGCCCATTGTTGCCGGAGATGGACGCCTGGGCCGAGTTCCAAGCGTCAAAGAGCACATTTCACCAGCGGCCGGCGGATGAGACCAAGACCGAGGAGGACAGATCCCGAGGTGGCTGGCTATCACCTACTATATCTGGCAAGCGGCATCTCCATATGACCCAATGGGCCCTGAAAGCAGCGAAGACTGCAATCATGTAGCTGCGGGGATTAGCAGCCAATTAAAAGCTTAATTTAATATGGTACCTTAATTCCTGAATATTTATTATATATGATCATAAAGGCTCCATAAGAATCTAGGTTATCAAATACTACATCATTTAACGCTATAATATCGACTCTTATTAATGTCACTTGAGGTCACAGGGGACTGTGGGTCCTGTGACCTAGTTGTAGTCTTCGCTGCTTTTATGGGATAGGAGCTAGGTGCCAAGTCGTTCTTTGCTTCTTTCGATGACTTGTAAGTGCTGCGTGCTCAGAGAGGCGTGAAAGACACCCCGCAGCACATTGAGCAGCGCAAATCAGTGGCTGGAATTTGCTCGCTGGCAACCAGGGCGGAGATGTTGGCCACGTTTCTAAAAGGCACAAAAGGCTCACCAAGTGGTCGGGGAAATGGGACTAGACAACACAAACCCAGAGGTGCGTTGCTGAATATGTGGGTTCGTGCATCTAGGCACGGCTTGTAGCATTGCGTGACGGCTCAGAACATTGGCCAAGCATAATATCTTGACTAAAAGCAAGCATGCTCCGACGAACGCGGGATCCAGAGAACCACTTCAATCGCCATCGACAGATGCACTTAGCCACCAGTCGCCGGCTTATCGGGCTGGTGAGACAGCGGATCGCCTGACCTCGCGATGGGCTGGCTGTCTGACCCGGCACATGGTTTTCATCGCTCTTTGTCCAACGGAAGGAATTTTCAAGAACAGCGAGGTGGCTTGGCGTGGCAGAGCTCACAGCCTGGCCACGGGGGGTTGCAACGAGGACTGCTAAGATCGGCAGTCGAATTCCGCAAGGCTGGGTGAAAGAAGTTGGAAGGGGGGTCTCAGCATCCCTCCCGGTCGAATGAACAAGCTCCCCTTCTGTGTGGCCTTCATGCGACAATCAAACTTGCATTGTAGAATGTCAAGACACTGCATGTCGACTACCGAAACACCGAAAAGAAAGTTCGGAGAGCCCAAACAGTTTTATGGACGACATACCAATTTCCGGGTTCGGAGCTGGCAAAATTGAGCACCCATATCAGTAAGGGAAAATCGCTGAAGACATTGCTGCCCGTTGTATATGTTCATTGATCCTCAATATTTCTTGATTCAACAAGTCGCTGGTGCCCGTTTCTGCCAGATGCGCTTTGGGGTGGAGACGTTTGAAACAATTGGTTTTGGAGATGGCTCGTGGAGTTGTTGCTTTGCTTGTCCCGGCCGGGAGATTGATTGTGCAGTGGGGTCTGTACTCCATCGCCATAGATCACTACAATCCTTGCACAAGGTTGACATCGAGACCCTGGGGTCGTCCTGCTAGCTTGGCGATTGCAATCTTCCCCATTCTGAAGCGGTTCAAGGTAGTACTAGCCCCTGTCGTGGGGCGGTCATCTTATTCTTATGGAGCTGCCCTGTTTGGCGACTGCAACATGAGCATAAAAGCTGCTGCAGGTTATGTTGCGGGGGGGACGGCAGCTTCAGATTGAAACTTTTCAGCAGGCAATAACTCTTTACCTATGGCGTAATAGGAGAGACATTGACAAGCAGATAGACCCTATCTTAGACCCCGACTTTGGCCCGTTTGGAAAGTCATGGACTCATGTGTCCAATTGTCCTTTTTGCTGGCGTAGACCTGGTTTGAGGGTTTTGTATCTCGTCTTGAAGCCGCTCACTCCACTTTGCAGCTGGGTGTCAGTGCCTTTTTGCCAAGAAGACAAATGATACTAAAGCGTACTCGGAGAGCACCATGGCCGGCCTAATTCGGCAGGTATAACTGCGAACTTTTGTTCGATAGCAATGTTGACCATGTTCGGCGGAGTGGCCCGAACATCATGGCCCGGCCGCCATGTTCATGATATGCAGTGCTCTTCCCATTCAGGCCACGGGCAGGCAGTCTATCAGTCAGCTGTACTCAAGTCCCATACCAGAACTCAGCAAGGCATCGTACATGAGCAGACGGTGAGATCACGCTGCATGTTGGACAGGTCGCGGGTTGCGGCCCGACCAGCAGCATGAAGCGAGGCAGTTTGGCGGGGTAGAACAAGGTAATAAATAAAAGTACATGCATCGTTGGCTGTTGGAGTAAGACGGAAGGGCGCAGGGCATTGTAGATAGACGGGTTACATCGTGGAACAACCACAGCGATGCCGATCTCATGCGTGTCTCTGTCGCTGTTGCAGAAGATGGCGGCAGTCGAGGTCTGATCTGTCGCGCGCGTCTGGGAGTAATGGAGAATCTGATGGACGGCGATATTTGTGCGCAAAGATCAAATGCACGCGGGGATCCTTCCTCCCTCTCTCTCTCCCTTCCTTCCTTCACTCGACAATTCCAAGTTGCCTGTACACACGGCAGTAACAGGCCACGTTAGCTCCTTCCCGCGATAACACACAAGTGCACGACCGACACGGCTCCTCGATTCTCTCGGGGGTTAAAATGATGCAGGACTCTTGCATGCAGATTCCGCCCAATTTTCATCCAAGACAGAAGAGAAACGGACCTCGTATCCCAATCAGACAACACCGCCTGTTACCCGCAGCTGCATCGGACTCGACCAACCTCCCGGCTCTGTTCTGTGCTCCTAACAAAACACAAGCCGGAGTACGAGGCCCTTGTCTTGTGCTTGGGCCTGCATCACGTAAATTGACGTGCCCATGATGCATTCAAGCTTGCCTCCACCAACAGACCCCGATTCGGCATGTGCCACGCGTGTGAAATGCTCGCTGGGATCGTTTGTCCCAGATATTCCGCCACTGGGTCAATATTCACGTATACCTTCCCATATCGCCTGGCAGCTACAATATTACGGTAGCAAAGTGACTAAACATCGTGGCGATACCGCATGGGGAGAACGGCTCCGACCAGGGTCGCTCGGCTTCGAGGCACCAGACGATGGGTTCCTGCTTCATGCATTGTGCGACGCTGACTTGAGTGCCGATCCTCGGAGGGCGCCGACTAACTCCTGCTCCTAGATTCACGCATCCACACCCACACGTGATTACTCACGTCGCCTAGCTGCAACAAGCTGCGACTCTCACCAACTTCCCAGACGTCAATGATTGATGGATTACAGGTACGCTCCCGCTCCCAGAACGGTCAGTTGACCTTGTACAACCTCTGGCGTTCAGAACTGAAGAGAGCTTGATCCTTCGTTCATGGGGTCATACCTTGGGAGCAGCAAACCTCCGCCAACAGCTAAGACATGCTGTCCATGACACCACAAGACCCCTTAACCATACATACAAGGTTTGCACGCCACGTCACCTACCCTATGACGAGATAAATCCACAGTCAACTTGCCGAAGGAGTTTGCACTAGACCTGCCCTACAGGACCAGGCGTTACAAGGGCCAATTTGATCTTTCTTTGTACGGATGTACCCAGAACTGTAACGCATTTCAAGATTCAAGCCGAGCTGTGACAAGGCATCACCATCAGTTCGAAAACCCGCCCGACATGGAGTTCAGACTGTCAAAGGGGAGCCCAGCTTGCTGTTACAGTCCTCATGAAAACATTCTAAGGTCGATCACGATGTGCAAATCGCTCACCAACCACGTAGACAATTTCTGCACCTTCCTGTCGAAACCTCATCTTCTCATACACGCGTCTCTCCATGACTGAAGCCTCCGTGACACACTCCAAACCTCCTTTGGCCTTTGCCTCATCCAGCCCCCATTGAACCAGCTGTTTTGCGATGCCCCTTCCTTGGTAGGCAGGGTCAACAACACACAAGTCAAGGACCACCACGCCCATTTTTTGTGTGACAGATGCGTGGCCACACCCAGTTTTGAGCCAAGAAGCCCACACAATATCGAATGGGCCAACAATACGACAGTCTCATGTGGAACTTGAAGCCCCATTTGCTAACCCAAAGAGACATGGGAGCTGAGGGCGGAAGAATTAAGCACACGGCAGCTGATCTGGCTGACGTCAAGTTGAGCATTCTTTAAGACGCCTCGATGCCGAAGGAAAGGAGTTACTCGTATTAGTTAAAAGCCATCAGCCAACTAATTCCGTTGCAGATTCGGCCCAACCAGCTTTGAGCTTTATGAGTTTCAGTTGCAGCAGCTCTTACGGTTATCAACACTACTCTAATCTCTCAGTCTCTCACGCTTGATGAGTGCTTTCTTGGACAAATTGATCGATAAGTTTTGTTACAGCCACTCCATCACCTTGCGGCTCTTTCGCCAGTCTTTAGCCACACCCGCATGAGATGGCATTATTCAATGCTGTCCTTTGCCTTGTGAACTAATACCGCCAAGGGGGCCGCGGATAGCCAAGTAGGTTGCGTGGCTCAAAGTATAAGTGTGTAGTAGAACTTCTAAAATGATGATGGACCTACTTCTTATACAGCGGTGCGTTAAGATCTGGCTCGATTCCTTAGCGGTGGCATTTAGTACGAGACTATTGCGCCCGATCAAGTCAAGCTCCGGGAACCCATTCTTCTTGTCTGTCATTCTTCCGTCAGCATTGTCACAATTATTGGGTCTTTGTGTGCAAGGCGAGCAAGAGTCCGGTTCACTCGAATTATAAAGCAGGCCTGTTCTACCCGCAAGGCTCTACTGACCTCGCCAGACAAGACTTGAAGCTGCTTATCACTATTTCGGGGTATCGTACAAGCTGTGTGGCTACATGGGTCAACAAGCCGTCATCACTGCGGATTACACCTGTTGCAGTCACCATGCACAAGGCAGCGGTACTCGCACTTGGTGTGCTGGCGACCACTTGCCGTGCTTTCGAGGCCGTCATTCTTGCCGACACGAATCGAGACGGAAAGGTTGACATAACCGGGGACTCGGATGTTGCACAAAAGTACACTTGGACGGAGGAACGAGGAGCTATTTTCATGGCCAATATTGCCGATACGAACCACCGATGCTCCGCTAGGAATAATTCCAGCCGTCTTGACAAGTGCCACGACGCATCCGATAACATCCTACGCAACCCCAAGTACCTGGCGCCTCTACGCACCGTCGCTAACCGTACCTTGAGCGACGCAGCTAAGGGCAAGATCTTCGTCTCTGGCAAAGATGCCGAAAAAAATGTCCGCATCTTCCACAAGAACGGTGATGATTGGAGCTATGTCAACAAGAGCTATGTCTTCAGGCCTGCTGATCTGCGGGCCGGTCTAGAGCTGGGGATTGACGCACGGGACGTTAGTCGACCCAAGGGGTGGGATGGCATGGCCATGGTCAACTTCAAATTGACTGACCTGGAAGAGTCTGCCAATGATACCGTCGCACTTCGAGTTGCGCCCATTCTGATACCTCATGATAAACGAAGGCTTGAAAAAATGTCGGTTTCAACTCACAAAAGCCACCCAGGGTGGGAGTTGTTTGCCCAGCATTTGGAGACGTATCTAGTTGATCATAGGTTTGAGGAGCCTCTGACCAGGATCGACAGTGAGCGTGGCTGGGCTCATGACCACTTCAAAGCCGGATATACCAGTATGCCGGGACCCGACGGGCCCGTTTCCCTGCGCGTCTATGTCAAGGGCTGTCTAAGGGGACCTGAGGGCCAAAGAGTGTTTGCGGATATGAGAGGTGACTGGGCCGGCGCCGTTCGACATTATGAGGCATCCGACTTGGATTCCGACCAGCTGGGGAATATTGAAATCATACCTCCCCATTCCCACAACGGCGCAAGCTACCCTGCGGGAAGAGCAGTCATGGGATTCGGCCACTTCGTGTCAAACCACAAGGCGCCGAGGATACTGAAATTCTTGCAGGCTCAGAAGCTACAGTACCCCTTCACCCTCGATCACAGCTGGCTCTTTCATGGCCAGATTGCCGATTACATGCAGTTCGTGCCTGTCAACAGCTCCCGAGGATGGACAATGATCGTGGCCGACCCCGTTGGCACGCTCAACTTGTTCAAGAAGGCCCAAGCGGACGGCCATGGTGAGACTATAGCGATATCTCATCATACCTTCCTAAGAACAGAGAATGAGCTGGATTGCGACTCACTGACCATTGATCAGCTTCTTCGGCTTCCTCTCATCATAAAAACTACCGAGTGGTCCGGAAAGAACATTGCACACAGCATCAACGTTATCAAGAACGAAACTGGGATTACTGAAGATGAGATCATACGCGTTCCGACCCTTTTCTACGCCTATGATGGCATCGCAACGCTGAGGCAGCTGTACTGTTATGGAGATAGATATGACAAACCTCCAAGGACAATGCCCTTGAAGGCTCTACGCTGGTGGCCGCATTACCTGTCAAACCTGGCAAAGAACCTCTTTGAGGTGCTACGGTCCAAGCCCTGGCCTTCCAAAGCTATTTATCCCACAGCCACCAACGGCATTTACTTTGAAAACGGCCAATACCTGAGCCCGTACCCCTTCGGACCCCTCATCGGCGAGTCGGACATTTTCATCGAGGCTATCCGCGAGGCTTTCGGCAAGGCCGGACTGAATGTTACTTTCTTCGAGAACTGGTCTATTCATCACATGCGTGATGGTGGAATTGAGCGTGCCGTCAATGTGGAACGCGATATTTTTCAAAGGTGGTGGACGATGGCTGGCGCTGATGAAACGCCTTTACGTGAAGTCCCTCCGGGTAATTATACCCAGTATCGGCGCGCCTGAAAGCAAAAGCATGTGTTTATCATACAGCGCTCCTTTGCCAGGTGAAACGATCACCTCGTGCCGGGCTATTTGACCTCTTGGGTTTTTCGATCTTGATGGATACACTTGGCGGGGGGGGCTCCGTTGCGACGTCCCCCGACGTCTCTCGCGAGTATGAGCTGCCTGAAGGGGGGATCCCTTTATAGAATAATTAGTATCTGGAGCTAGAGTGATTAATATGAGTAGCCCTACTATACAAATCGCCATGGCAGTCAAGCATAGCGGCCGTTGCGGGGTGTGCAACACGGGAATAATAGCCAACTCTCAGCCTGTAGCCACATGGGAGCTTTCCATTCGAAAGCTTGGCAAGTGATGAGACAGTATGTGTACGCCGATTCCTACGATGGAAATCATAGCCACGGGCAAGGCTTCGTACCAGCCTTGACAAAACCGGCGGCACCACGCCGCTGGAAGAGAGGCTGCATCAATAAACACAACTGTTCAGAATACCACTCTTCTTTTCACAACCTACACACTGATGAGGTCAAAAAATGCAGTATGATACAAATATTTGAATCAAGCCTACTGAAAAGCAATCCGTCCAAGCTGGCGAGAAAGACATCAAATGTCAGGGCCCCAGCCGCGTGCATTCCAGACAGACACTCCGGTCAGCAATGCACCTGGCAAGCTAGCTTTTTGGATTTACATGCAGTTGGATGCTAATGTCGCAGGCATTTCTCTTTTTTTGATAGAGAGACCGGCATTCTCTGGCGGTTGCATCTGGATAGACTTGCACAAAAGCTGCTTTGTATAGTTGAATAATAATTTGATTATTTGTAAAATTAAACAGCACATTGACAACTACTGACCAGTCCCCGCATCAGGACTGGCTTCCTAGGCAGAATACTGCCACTATCCAACTCACAATTAATGTTGGTCGGAAAAGGTAGTAGTGGTGTGGGTAGACATGAAAATGAAAAATACAGGGGACCATGTAGAAGGCGGTAGAATGCGATTCAACTCGACGCACCGCAACCGTGCACATGCTCGTCTACATGGAAGCGACTCCGCGCCTGGACAAGAGATTGGTTCGATTTTCCCATTGCCTTTGCAGTCGGTGCATGTACCGCAATATTCAGTGCCCTCTCCGCTGCAGGCCTCGCGGGGTGTCGTTTTGCTCAGGTGGGCTCGTGGCTGTAGAGCGTGACATTGATGGTGTGCAGTGAACGAACTCGAGAGTCGAGTCGACTTGCGCCGTGGTTCCAGATGTCCCTTGTTGGATGCCAGCCGTTGGTACTGGTGGGGACCCAGATCAGCCCCACCTGCTCCGCTGAAGGCGGACCGTCCCGCCTGCTATTGGTCCTAATTTGGCCGGCACCTCGAAACCACCCACCTCGTCCTCCCCGCGGATCTAGTTCGACTCCCAGCCGTGGATGAGTACGAAGCTCATATTCAGTGTCAGTCTTGCCATGTCGCATTCCAATCTAATAAAGAGCTTACTGACCATATGGAGGGTTAATGAGAGCAGCATCCAATAATGCCAGTCTATCTCATAACAAGCCAAACAGTCTCGAGAACGGCTACTGGTTCTGGAGCGGTGCCGGATGCACTTGGCTCGATTGAAAAATTCGAGAGGCGGCAGAGAACCTCGACGCAGCTGTTGCAAGGAATATGAGGAGGGTCATAAGAACAACAGCCGGAGCCTTGGCCTCAATCAAGACTGCCGAGGTGCCCGTTCAACCCGAGTGACCAATCTCTGCCTTGTACGACGAGAGGGAATCTCATGTGGTATTTCTAGACGCGTATTTTTTTATTCTATTATTTTTGAGTTAACAAATGCCACATATATTAAGCGCCACAAGCCATGTCCCGAAGTCTTTGTGAAAGTGCATCGAGATATGAGGCACAGCTGCAAAAGCAGCCACCAGTAGCCGGCGATTGGCTCAGGCAATTGCGATTAGGCGTCGAAGCGAGAAGCCGGGCACTAGCCAGACGTCTTGTTGTGCTCTTGGTATTGTAATGGCCCGGCGGCTGGACTGATTGACAACAAAGTTCCATTCTAAGGGCGTAGATAGCTATATTACCATTGCAAATCAAAGGCCGAGACACAAACAATACCAGTCCTTAACCTAATGGTCCGCTGGTTCTAAAGATTCAATGATGCCTCTAATTGCCTGGCTCCCAAACCAAAACGACGCAAAACGTTGCAACTCCTATTCAACATGGCCATGTTCAACGCGTGTCAGTAAACGGCTGAATGAGTCTGTTCACACTAGAGTCAGCAGTGGAGAGAAGAGGAAAGACCCATCCTCCCTAGCTAGGGTGTAAAAACAGGTATCTCTGGCCACGCGTGGATTTCCACGTTTTTCTTGGGTTATCCGTGGGCTACCCATTCTTTCATATGGGTGGTCAAGGCATTCCACGGGTAACCTTGAAAAAAACTGAAATACCCATGGGTGCTTATAATATTACCTATTATAACTCGGTAATAGTTTTTAATATATTAATAAGAAGCTAGGTCTTGGATAAATACCTAATATTACTTAAAACTACTGATGAATAGTCATGGATAACCCATTTTCCTCCATGGATACATTTGGGTCTTTTTTTCCTACCCATACCTGCCCAGAGCCCACGGATGAGCTACCCATACCGGGTGTCCGTGGACCTTTTACACATTATCCCCAGCATACCTTGATATAGCATCTTGTTACTTGTTGCAAAGAGTGAGAATGGCCTTGACCGTAAACGGCACCACATTCTGAGCACCAAGATTGGTTGCTGGAAGAAGGCATGCGTGTTGCTAAAGGTTCATCTCGAGGGAATATTCAAGGACGATGCTTGGTTTCAATTTGTGGAATTTGGCGTTCTTGGGATCAGTGTAATTGATTGATGGAGTACGCTGAGGAGAGGCTAATCGACTTGAGGGAGCTGGGAAGACAGGGCTTTACATCTGGGTGTTTCCTGCTAGTGATGAGGATTCTACTACCCACGAGGCAACTATTTCGCCTGTCGCATCTTGTTGGTGAGCCAACGGCATTCTTAACAACGACACGGAGTGCAATAATCAGCGGACACTGCGTGGGGAGCGGGCAGGGGTGCTCCCGAACTTGTGATGAGATGTATGTGCTTTTCTAAGCTGGCCCAACACCCCCTTCTTTCGACATGCCTCGGAGCCCTCTCCCATGTACGCATTTGGCCATCCTGGATGCACGGACTGCTTCCGAAACGGATCATGGATCTCCAGTAACTTGATCCTTTGCCCCATTATATCATTCAAAGTCTTGGTAAAAGCTCAGCCCCCCACCAAAAAAACGAAGGGCTCAAAGGAGCTGGTGAAAGAGTTACACAGTGATGGGGTTGGAGTGCACATGGAAACAGAGGATAAATATGAGAGGTTTAGAAAGAGGCGAGGTTAAAATGCCCAAGGTAGCGAGCCCAGAAACAACTTTGCCCATCATGTGCCTTCCCGATATAGCGTCATGTGTCTACCACGGCTACCTACACCACATCTTCCCGCATTAACTTGTTTGCCATCTTGTCGAGATATTGCTTGGCCCTCTCGGCATCAAAATTAAATGCCAGACGCACCATCTCGAGGACTAAACCCTCGTCTTGCCCCGGCGAATTGTCCAAGCTTGGAGAAGCAAGCATAGATCCTAGACGCTGCACTTTCCAGGACCTCTGCGAAGCCATTTCCAAGACGCACCCCTTCCTCTCCGAGCCTTGCCCCGGCTTCCCGGAATTTTCTGCAGTATAACTCTCTGGCATTAGCCTGCCGTAACATGTTGCTGTGCGCGAGATGCTGGGGGTTCATTTAGTATCGTTACGGCATTGGGTAGTGGTTGACTTGCCAAGGAGCAGTCTGAGCGAATTCCCAATCAATGACGGCTAAAAAGTTCAACTCATCATCGACTAGAATGTTTTGCGTGCCGAGGTCCATGTGGTTCAGGGGATATCCTGCGGGCGACGACCCCTGGAAGAGCGTCGTAGACTGCACAATGTCTAGGAAAACTAGCGCACCCAGCTTGCGGAAGTGCGACAGGCCTTGATCGGGACTGCTCTCGTGACAGCTCGTCCGGTGCAAAGCTGCTTCTCCAAGGGCCGTGAAGTGTCGAGTCTGTTGGATCCGCAGTGTCGAGAGGTTCGGTTAGGGTTAGGGTTATACGATAACGTCTGGTGGAGCATTGAAGAGACGGAGAAACTGGGGGGTAGTGTTGTGCTCTCGAGGAAGCTCAGCATAGCTGGCCCGTTGCCCCTTCTGCACGTCGTGATATTGTCATTGAGAATATCAGTTGAGTGTTGGTCCGGCTGCATTCTCAAATGACTGTGCTCTGGCTCGACCATGCTCTGGCTTGGCTTGGTGCACAAATGAGCCAGCGTGCACTCGAGACAAACTCACACCAGCATGTGGGTTCAATGTTGGATGTTGTCGCCGACATTGCCGGTGTCCGGCTCAGCATGTCGAGGCTGCAGAGCAATCAACCAAATCCCAACCTGTAACTATTAAGATGCGTGCACATGCTACACTGGGTCAATGATGGTAGATTTCGAGCCTGGCTGAGTTCGCATGCCCATGTCCACGTCATGTGGCATCTGCAAGTAAGCGGTGGGGACACGCGGTGTGAGGCCAAGCAGCCACGCCCACGTAAGTCGATGCGTCCCTGTGTTTCCCTTGGAGTTTGTCGTCCGGTTGAATGCTCCAGAGCCCGCCCTCCCGTCTTCAGCCTTGCGGGGCCCCGAAGCCAATCGAGCCGCCTCCAGATTGTCCCCGCAGCATTTCCTGGCGAGGCGCTGCGTAAGAGCTGACGAGCCGTCATCCTCCTTGACATCATAATTTTCCTCTTTTTTAAGAAAGAACAAAAGAAAGAAACACTAAGCAACCGAGTCTTTAGGTCGCGTGCTCTACACTTTATATTTTAAAAGCAGCGTGTCCGTCAACACGCAGAGCTGTCGCGAATCGTGGCCAATGAGAGCATCGACGGCCCGACAGCCCATCAACATTGACCTCACCTCACCATGGACAGCTTCTCACCAGCTTCCCTCTACTCTCTCTGCTCTGCCATGATCCAACACGCAGCCTCCAGCACGGCCGAAGCCCAGAGCATCCTTCAGTCAGCCCCGCAAAGCAATCAAGTCGCCAGCCAAATCGCCGCGCTGTCTGCGTCGTTCCACGCAGCCAGTGTCCAAGTCACCCACCTGGAGCACGCGCTTCAACATGCGGCCGCAATTTCCGTGCCGATGCAGAGCCTCCTCACCGAGAACTTGACCTCGTGCAACTCGTTGGCTGCCAGACTACACAAGCAAATGATGCGGTTGCACCGAGAGAACCTGAAACATGTAGATGCTCGCTTCGTCGCGGCGCACCTCGCCGCCTTGACGGCGTACCAAGGCTTATTCCAGCATCTCTCACAAACATTATCCATGTGAGCAATGCCGGCAGCTGCTGCTTCTCAGACAACGCGTCTAAAGCTAATATCCCACAGTCCTCAAAGAGACGCCCAAGACTCCGACCTGGCCGGTTTCAGTGCCCAGCAACTGATTCAACAAGCAGCTAGTGCCTCGCAGGCGGCATCCCAAACCACAGGTATCCTGCTGGACGACAAGGCCGCACAAGGTTGTTGCAAGCCTTCAACATGTAGCAATCTCCCTCATCGCCCAAAGAACCGAGACGTGCCACAAGATGAGCCGCCTCCATACGCGCCAACTGACCCTTGGTCGTCCGATTCTCACCAAGTCCCGACGCCTCCGCAAACCGAGGCCGGTCCATCCAGCGGCTTCTCCCTCGGGAGAACCCTAAAAGCGTTTGAGCATTCCTTGATGCCAAAGCCTGACCCGTTCGTGAACGCCCTCTGCCAGGCCGTTACAAGCGGCGACATCCAGCAGGTAACGGGGCTCCTCTCACAGGGGATCAACATTGACGGCAGGGGAGAAGGGGGCAAGACGCCGCTGCAGTGTGCCATCGTTGCAAACCAGCAACACGCCGCCGACGTCCTGCTCTCCGCCGGCGCCAACTACACGTCTGCCGGCGGCTGGGGGGGCCACGGCATGCCGCCCATGTTCCAGGCCGCCGCGGCCGGACGCGTCGGCATCGCCAAGCTGATCATGGCCAGGGGCGGCGTCCAAGCCACGGAGAAGAGCATAGCCGGCCAGCCATACCTTGTCGACGTCGTCGGCAGCAACAACCTCGACGGCGTGCGGTTCCTCCTCGACCACGGCGCCAGCCCCAACTCGTCCAGCATCTCGGGGAGACGCGTCCTCGTCCAGGCCGTCAGGCAGAGCAACCCCGCGCTCGTCGACCTCCTCATCGAGTACGGCGCCGAGGTCAACACCCCCGACATGACGGGCAGCTCCATCCTCGCCGTGGCCGCGGACAAGGAGGACCTGCACATGGTCCGGACGCTGCTCGACAACGGCGCCGACGTGGACGGCACAACCGTCTGCGGCGTAAGCGTGCTCGTGGACGCCATCGCCCGAAGACGCCTGGACCTGGCTCGGGTGCTGCTCGACTACGGCGCCGACGGCAACATGGACGACGTCTTGGGCCGGCCCATCATTCTCACCGTCGTCAAGAACCCCGGCATCAGACCCGGCGACAAGGTCGACCTGGTTCGACGGCTCCTCGAGAAAGGCGCCTCCCCCAACGTCAAGGACACGGCGTGGGGTACACCCGCGCTTTGCTTCGCGCTCGAGTCCGGAACCCCCGACCTGGTCCGCCTTCTTCTCGAGCACGGCGCAGACACCGACGTGGTGACGAGCGCGGGCGAACCGCCGCTGATGTGTGCCGTGGACAAGGGCAAAATGGCAGAAGCGAGGATGCTGCTGGAGCACGGGGCGGACGCAGACGGCGCCAATAGGCAAGGCAAGACGCCCCTCATGCAGGCCGTCGTCAGGCAGGACGTCCAACTCATAAAGTTGTTGCTGGAGCACGGGGCCAATGTCCAGGCCGCGGGAGCCGTGGGCATGGCCAGCTTCGCGGGGGCGCTGCGTCGACCCGATATCTTGCACCTGTTGGGCGTGGGACCCGGGGGCACAAGTGCGGGAGCACCCCCAGACTACCAAACCTAACGAATCGTGAGGACACTGCATTCCGTGGAGAGCGAGGGGGCCAAGATGCCCCAGTCATGTATATAATAGATGATAGCACGGTCTATACGCAAGCGCCAAGCAACCCCAGTAAAATGCCAAAACGCCCAAACAATGCCCTATTGTCCCAGTATACTCCTCAGCCACCACGCGTGGATGCGCGCGTCAGCCGTCAGCTCCGGGTGGAAGCTGGTCCCCAGCACATTGCCCTGCCGCACGGCGATGATGTCCCCCGAGCCGTCCTTGGTCTTGGCCTGCGAGACGCCGGCCTTCATCCTGTCCAGCCGCCCGGGCAGCTTGGCCAGGACCTCGACGCCGTCGCCCGAGCCCTCGAGGACCTCCTCCACGACGGGGGCGCGGATGAACACCCCCGGGAAGGGGGCGGCGCCGTCCCCCAGGAACGCCAGGTCCAGGTCGGACTCGAAGCTTTCCGTCTGCCGGCCAAAGTGGTTGCGGTGGACGCGCACGCCCAGCCCGCCGATGAGTTCCTGGCCGCCCTCCTTGGTGGCGTTTGCTTGGTCGGAGAGCAGGATGAGGCCGGCGCATGTGCCCCAGACGGGCTTCTTTTGGACCCTGCAAGAGGGGGGGTTCAGCACGGGAGCGGTGGGATTGGGGGTTAGAGATGGGGGAGAACCGACTTTACGTAGTCTCTCAGAGGTTCGAGCAGGCCAGACTGCGCGGCGACGAGGGAGATGGTGGTGCTCTCACCGCCGGGGATGATGAGGCCGTCGCACCGGGCGAGTTCCTGAGCGGTGCGCACCTCGATGACGGAGACGTGGAGTTTGAGCTGCTCGGCGGCCTTGCGCACGAGGTTGATGTGCTCGATGAAGCCGCCCTGGAGGGCTAGGACGCCAATGGTGAGGAGGATCATGGCGACGGCGCGGGTCTTTTTGCCTTGGAGGGGTTGGCGCAAGATTATGAGAGGGCGAGGAGAAGAGGAGAGGAAGCAAGGGAGTTGAAAAGACACGAATGGCTCGAGCACAATCTATGAGATGAGATGAGTCTGATGGGCGAGTGTAAAGTTTCCATGTGCCGCATTGCCATGGGCGGTACACTACGGAGCGGGAGCGCCTGGAGGAATAAAATGACTAACGCAAACCATTCCGTGACTCCATAAAATTCATCAATGGTCTGGTGGAACTCGTCCGAAATGCTGGGTCGGTCCATGCCATGCCGCCAGCAGGGTGCGCACATGGGCCACATTCCACAGCAGACGCGCATGCAGTCGCTAATGCAAGCACCGACAGCCGGCAGCGGACCGTCTCGAAGCAGCGAGACATTTTCGACGTCGAGTCGGACACAGCCAAGGTGCATCCGCGTGCGCATGCATGCTTGGGGCGCGCCCGGTAGTCGTGGCCTTGGGAGACCAGTCTCTTGCGCTTCCTTTTTTTTTGTTCTTTCCTGCTGCAGATGCGCCAATACCTTGGGTGGCATGCGCAGTGGCCAAGAAAATGTCTGCAACTGGTACTACGTATACTGGTAGAAATCCAATGCTGCGGACTGCCATTGTAGAGCGACGCAGCTAACAAGGAGGTGACAGATGACCGGGTCTCCAGACGGTAGCCAAGCGGGTGTCCGCATGTCTATATGTTGCGGAGCTGCCAGGCCATGGCCGCCGATTTCAAGTGGCCGACGCCCTTTCTTTGATCTCAAGCCCACAATGCTTACCATCTGCCGAGTCATACAGTCGATATCGGGCGGCATCAGTTGGAATGGCAGTTCCAGGGTACCCGTCACCGATGGCCTTGCAGTTCGGCCTGGCTGCCCACCGATATTGGCGGGCCTGTATTCTACTTGGGAGGCGAGCATGACTCAACAAGGCGCCAGGCTTGGGGCCTTTGGAGTCTTGCGTAAGGCTACCGGCACATTCGTTCCCCCGAAGCAAAGTGGTTGTTTCGTCCAGATTCAGCGCACCAGATTGCCACGTGAACGCCTCCAATGTCGAGATCTGGGCATGGCTTTTAATCTTGTTCGGCCCCACGTCAGGCAGGGCTGAGTGTATGCATTGTTCCTCAAAAGTTCTGCAGCTCTGCGATGCGGCTGACTTGCACTCGCTGGGCACCTGCGCCGTTGATGCATTTCTGGACCATTCGTCGTAATCGGCACCGGAACCCGATGATTGCCGCGCTGCCAAAGTAGCTGTGGCGCGCTGGCCTCGATTGGGTGGAAAGCCCTTCAACTCCAGGCTGCGCACTTGCATGATAATGCTAGGCGTCAGCTGGTCCCCGAGGTCGCCTGCTGTGTCCGGCGACAGTGGCGGCGCCGACCGCGCGAGACGTCGAGGTGCGCGGCCCCGGAGAAGTTGGGATGGTGCCCACAGGAAGGCGTCGGCCGTCAAGTATTGGCAATGCATTGCCTGGCCTGACCAGCGCTCGACGAGAAACGGCCTTGGCGTGTTCCGTTGTCGCTCGGTCGGACGGTGAGCTTTCGAGTCATCTCGACGCCTTTCCCCAGACATCAAATCAAGATGAATGCCTTGACATAATAATATGGAGCGCCAGCTAATGTACCTAGCCCGGCCTAGAGCACGGAGCAGTTGAATTGGGCAAGTACGTAAGGTACGATTCAACTGCTCCGTTCTTTCCATGCCATTCCGCAACGGGAGGCTTCGACTGGTTCTCGCCTCCCCTTCCCCACCTGTGATGCACGCTATGCTAGGCCATCCCCGATGGTCCTGGCTTTTCTTCGTTTGGCTGGGTCCTGCATGCTGCCCCTCCATCGGTCTGCTCCTTCCATACATGACCCCACCATGATGGGCAAAAAAGAGCGTAATACAAATACATGTTGCCGTTTTTTTTTTCTCTCTCCCTCCCACGAGCCGGGCATTGTAGATATCTTCTTCCCCCTTCTCTTCCTCCTCCACAGTTGCTCCCCGGGCGTTTATCACTGCTCCATACCCCAGCTTTTTGTTCTTCCCGCCCGACACCCTCCACGTACAGCAACCACCACGTCACATAGCATCGCAATGGCCAACGAAACTGCCGCCGCCGCTGCCAATGGCGCTGCTCCCAAGTCCACCTTTGCCGTCAAGGCCGGTCTCGCCCAGATGCTCAAGGGCGGCGTCATCATGGACGTGACCAACGCCGCGCAGGCCCGCATTGCCGAGGAAGCTGGTGCTTGCGCCGTCATGGCCCTCGAGCGTGTCCCCGCTGATATCCGAAAGGACGGCGGCGTTGCCCGCATGTCGGACCCTACTGTCATCAAGGAGATCCAGGCCGCCGTCACCATTCCCGTCATGGCCAAGGCCCGTATCGGCCACTTTGTCGAGTGCCAGGTCCTCGAGGCTCTCGGCGTCGACTACATCGACGAGAGTGAAGTTCTGACCCCCGCGGATGACGAGAGCCACGTCGAGAAGAGCCACTTCAACTCTCCCTTTGTCTGTGGCTGCCGCAATTTGGGCGAGGCTCTGCGCCGCATTGCCGAGGGCGCTGCCATGATCCGGACCAAGGGTGAGGCTGGTACTGGCGATGTCGTCGAGGCCGTCCGCCACATGAAGACGGTCAACAAGCAGATTGCTCAGGCCAAGGCTGCTCTCGCCGAGGGGGGCATCGTCCGCATCCGTGAAATGGCTCGCGAGCTCGAGGTCGATGCCGAGCTTTTGCGCCAGACTGCCGAGCTTGGTCGCCTGCCCGTTGTCAACTTTGCCGCTGGCGGTGTTGCTACCCCCGCCGACGCCGCCCTCATGATGCAGCTCGGCTGCGACGGTGTCTTTGTCGGCAGCGGCATCTTCAAGTCTGGCGACCCAGCCAAGCGTGCCAAGGCGATTGTCCAGGCCACCACTCACTTCAAGGATGCCAAGGTTATTGCTGAGGCTAGCACCGGTCTCGGCGAGGCCATGGTCGGTATCAACTGTGACAGCATGAAGCCCGAGGAGAAGCTTGCCACCCGCGGTTGGTAATCAACCAAGACCGAGTAACAACATTATCGACGAATGTCCCGTGGGACACAAATACCAAGAAAAGAAGAGAAAAAAAAGATATGTTGCATATAGACATATAATTTTTTGCGACTTTGGGCAGGCGTTTGATCAGGGGTGTGGACATTTACTTTTATGCCGTTAAGCAGTCATGAGAAGATTCATAGGACCTTGAATGAATAAAATTGAACAGGCCAAAATTCCATCATGGCATGTCAGGAGTCACAATTGTGAAATGGGCAAACACAGCTAGTTGCTAGTCGGTTGCCATGTTACAGTGTTCCAAGCTGGAATGGGCTGCTGAGCCCGTGAACCAATCCATTGGCCGTGTGATGTGAGACATTTCGCCGGGTCGTGATTCCCCGATGCCCATCTAAGCAATCACAACTGTGAGATGCAACCAAACGTCACACAACACGTCCCCCAAAATACGACGAGACTGGGCAGAAACGCCTCGTCCGTCCAGCTTTCAGACCACCCACCCAGTTGTCGTCGTCCAACTTGACTGCCAATAAAGTCGGCCGAAACGTCTACATGCTGTGCTCGGAACAGCCCGAAAGAGGCACGGACTCTTTCCTCATCCGTACGGCATCTCAAGCCTGGTAAGCCGCCGTACCACGTGTGTCTCACCCGGGCAATCCTGCAACGGGACGCAGATCCGTGTAAGTCGATTGGGTACTGTGCCGCGAAGCACGTTCAGAATTCGCCCCAGTGTCTCGGGATTTCGAGCGTCGGCAGAACTACTGTCTTGGTTCGTCTCATCCCACACGACGTCTGGAACGGGCGACACAGATTTCATCCGTGGCACAGCAGACCCGGCCTCGAATATGTCCTTGAGCAATCTTCACCCCCCTTCCGGATTCCCTTGCGCCCTCCAGCGCGTCATCTGTGCGAGTCTCTGGCCGCGTTCGTCCACACCGGAGGGCGTGCGCTGGAGCACGTACAGCTCGTCTGCCCAGCGCGCAGCTCGGCGGCGGCGGCTCCGGTGCCGACGATGCGGACATTCTTCCGCTTCAGGCCGGGCTGGCTCCGCTTGCCGCGTGAGCCTCCGGATACGTCGTGCTTCCGGCGGCTGGTGTGCATCATCTGGCCGGACGAGGTGTCGAGTCCGGGAACCTGGGGTATCTCGGGGTGGTTGAGCACGCCTCCTGTGACGACGACAAACTGCGCGGTGACGGCAGTGTCGATGGGCGGCTCGCCAGGTCGGCCATCTTGTGTTGGCTGCGCTTTTCCAGCGTTTCCGCCCTTGGATCCAACAGCCTTGTCGACGAGGTTCCGCTTCTCGGCCGTGGTGACCATGTACCGTCTTATTTCGGGGCCGTGGGGGAAGCGGTTCCTGGGCACGTATCTGGTTTCTTCGAGCAGGGCCGTGTAAATGGAGCCTTGGACCGTCGACCCAGGGGTCTTTGACGACGTCTGCGAGCGCAGAGGGAGCTTCGGCAAGCTCGATGTATTGGGCGCTTCCGTCGGTTCGAAACCGTTTTGCTGACTCCTCGGTGTGCCTCTTGGTGAGCGAGTCCATGTCCGGGGCAGGACCTGGCACGCTTGACTTGTCGTCTGCCGTCATCTCGGCCATCTGGTGCCGCCTTGCCTCGGTTTGTCGTGGTGTCATACATGTCAGCCCATCGCCGCCGGGCACGGGTGGTTCGTGGGACCCGACAAACGGCAATGGTAGTTTCCGCATTCTGCATCCATTGTAGGGACGTCTCAGGTCCGGCCTGTGCAGGTCTTGTGGGCTGGCAGCGTGAATTCTTGCTTGCAGTCTCCCGACTCTCCGGAACGCCAGGCTGCGTACTTGAAGAAGGCGAATGTGGCCTTTGTCCGCCATGATGGAACCGAAAAGCCTAATGTAGAGTCAGCGATAGGATCAGTTTGAATAGAGAATGGAAACTTCGGCTCATGCCCCTCCTTTGTCTGTTGGTCCGGTGATGTGTACGGGCCTACTTCCCAGCAACTCCAGCCTCTTGCAACGACGCCATTCAAACTGGTCAGTTGCTCGGCTCTAACAACTATCCGGAACAGGAGCTGTGAATAACGCGGGCATATCAACCTAGTCGATTATAGCTCGCATGTACGTGCCTCAGATGTAGCCCTGCCCCGAACCATGTCAACGTTCCCACGCATTCCGCGGCGCCATCACCATGGCATCATCTCCAGTCGTATTACCGATGATGCCTCAAGCTCGAGCCCAAAAGGCAAATGCGACTTGACCATGTCGTCTCTTCATTTTCCGACCTCTGGTGATCCGAGGCACCCTGGATATAAGAATATAAAAGTGCTCTTCCCGACCAAAGGCACCACACGCTGCTCAGAAAACATTACGTATGTGCGCAGCGGTACTCTTGCAAGTTTGTCAAGGAAACCCTGCTCGTAAAGTCCGCGTCAATCTCGGAAGCGTTGATAATGAAGGACGGAATTTAATACGACAAACCCCGCGTCGTCGACGCACATTGCGCTCCGTTGGCTGTGACGCCGTGTCGGGGCCGGATACATATATCAAATGCGCAATGGCAATAACTATGCAATGTCGCATAAACAGTCCCGGTATTCGGCACGGCTAGTTGTGAGTCTTGTGACTCGGTATTAAACCCCACGAGTCGGACACGTCTCCAACTCGTCATCCGACCTCGCACGCCCGACGTCCATTACACGACGTCTGCAGAAACAGCCGTCATCCCACCTACAAAAACCCATTTCAATAAAGGATACCCTTGTAGAAACTCCCGCCGTGCCATGACTTTGAAGTGCCCGTGGATCCCGCATCAGTCCCCAACTTGGACCACCTCCCCGAGATCGAGGGCATGCCCCGGGGCTGCGCACAGGGCGTCTTAAACCACGACGCCAGACTCCCCAACACCACAAGTTGTGCGAGGCAGTCAAGACGGCACCCGTCCCTCAAAAACATTCGTTCCGCTCCCCTGCCCAGAGTCGGCCAACACCAGGCCTGGCCCATCTAGCTGGAGCCCGGCAACAAACGCAGTTTTCAGAGACGGCCAGACGGTGCGGCCTCCACGGCAGCCAAGACACGGCTCGCCAGCTGCAGAACAAGCCCTTCGCCGTCGCCTCAGAGGCCGTCGCACCGGCTTCGTAGCTCAAGCCGCCGCTATTGCCGTTGAACCCAGCTGCATCTGCTGCCGTGAATCGTCTTTGGGAAGCCGTTGCATTCGGTTGCCCCCGGTGATGAGTCTCGGCTTGCTGTCTAGTCCGACTACCAGTTGTTCCCTTCGGGGACCCTGCCGGGGGCCGCCTGCTTCGACACCAATCTTCTCACGCCACACATGCGAATCGAGGTCCACGACGCTACACGTGAGTGGCCAACGCCAACTTGTTGGAAAGTATTTCCTCTTGATTAATCAGATACTCCAAGGTCTCATGTACATGCACCATGTCAAAGAGGCAAAGCGCAGCTTAGCCAGCTCCGGCCGCCAACCGTGCCGTTTACTCTACTCGGCCCCCACCTGAAGAATCTGCAATACTGACGGTTTACAAGGTAGGAACAGACGTAGACAGACCGTGAGCGAGTGACCACCCCTTCCACGACACGATTTCGGAAGTACAGGGTAGCAAGTGATGAAGAAAAAAAAAAAAAATCATTCACGCAGGTATCAATGTCACGCAGAATTATACATGTACACTCCGCAGAGGCAATGACAACACCATCCTGCAAAAAGGACACGCGACAACAAAAAAACAAAAAAACGAGGGAATAAAGCAAAGTACTAAATTTGACTGATGACATGTTCCCCGGTAGACTAATATCTCCAACGCCAATTCATAAGGTGAGACTCAAGAAAATCGAGTGCGTTGTGTCATTGTAGTAGTATAGCAGAGCAAAGATTTTGTTTTTGAACAAGCAGCGCGTCAAGACGACGAACGTTTCTGACAAGGAAAAATCAGTCCCAACGCCCCAACTCTCTCCCCCCGGGCAAAGCCTCCAGAAACGGCCGCCGAGAACAAAAGAAGAACATCAAAAAAGAGCTCCCCAAAAGTCTGCTTTGGTCTGGCTTGTCCCCAGTCCGTCAACAATGTCGAAATGAGTAAAAGTGTGACTGCCTCTAGATTTACTGCTCGTCACTACAGTTAGCTTACACGATGTAGCCAACAAAAAGGGGGGGGGATCGATCCATCCCCAAACCCCATCATCACTCTATGCACTCACCTGAGGAGGCACGGCAGGTCCGGGGGGTCCGGGAGGTCCCTGAGGGCCAGGAGCAGGGCCGCCAAAGTGCTGAGGACCGTAGGGACCAGGTCCGTGGTTGGGCATGCCCATGTAATGAGGAGGAGGGGGCGCAGGACGGTAGGGGGTGCCGACTCCAGAGTTGTTCTGCGAGCGACCCCAGCTCAGGCGCACTCGAGAGTTGCCAATGGGGTAGCCCTGCATCTGGTTGATGGCCATTTCCGCAGCATGGCGGTGCACGAACTGCACGAAGCCGCAACCCTTGCCAGGGGGTATCTTGACGTAGGTGATCTCTCCGAAGCCCTGGAAGAAGGATCGGAGCTCGTCCTCGGTCACGTAGCCAGAGAGCCCACCGACAAACACGGTAGTGTTGTTTGGGTCGGTGAACTGGTTCATCTGGGTTGCAGGATTGTAGCCGCCGTAGGGGAAGCCTTGCATCCCTCCCCACATGGGTTGCTGAGGAACGCCGCCCATCATAGGAGCGCCGCCGGCATGGTGGCCAGGTCCTCCGAATCCGTGGTTACCGCTGAATCAGCTGTTAGCGACGCGCGACCTCGCCTGTCGGGGTCCTCCGAATCGGAGGGGCGTTTTTTTTGGGGGGGGG